AGGTCACCCACGCCCCCAGAGCACACCAGGACTTTCTGATTCTGAAATATCCATAGTCCTACTAGACCACAGATGTTGCCGGACCAGAGAGTTCCGGTTTATAGAGATGCATCCTGTATAATAAACTTCAGAGCTAAGAGTAAACTATTCAAGAAATACGTTTGCTGATAATGTTTTAAAGAAAGTTGCACCAGTGAACTGGTGGAAGTCACTTAAGCACTTGAATTCAGAGACTGTTGAAGTGATAATCTCGTTTAACAGCAGTAGCTTCTTCAGCTGGTATAAAAAGAATATTTTCTTCCTTTGGACTAATTCATTCCAAATTAAGAAATCTTTTTAACTAAATAAAACAACTTAAATATCTATATGGTGAGGTTCTCCTCTTAATACAGTATGGCAAGAAAATCCTCCAAAATTAATGATTAACCTTTTGAACTGGAGATAGTACTCCACCCAGTGACTTCGTAAATATCTGCTTCAATTACCTTTGGTAAATGAAATCATCATTCATTCACTTCCTGGTATAAGTCTTCAAAATAAATCACTGCTAAAACATATATAATGTGTACCTTCTAAAAATGAAACTTACATCTATCTCTGAGTTGTGAAGAATATGTATTAAGGCTATAACAACCAACACTTTTGTACTTTTATGTAGAAAACCATGATTAAATCGAGTCTTCCTGACTAGGGATTTCAATCATGATTTAAATCAAATATACACTGACCAGAAGTCAGTGAAGCAAGCAGACCTACCAAGTTACATGCATTTGGATGGAGATTCACTCATTCGGCATTCACATTAGGACTATTTTAAAGTCTGTCTTTATTTTACTTGGACACCCTTGACAATTTTTATTAAAAACAGTAAAAGAAACCTCTCAATTACCCCCAACATCAAATCAATTCATCCAGCAACAACATCAGCAAAATGTTAACCTGACCAGAATATTCCAACAGAGTACTGTATCACCAATGCACAGCCCTACCCCTACACTACATCTCCTTATGGGTGAAGGGAGAAGTGGACCTTGCAGCATGAACCTGCAAGGATGAAAAACTTGAGTTGCTCCCTTCCTGTTTGCTCCAAGGGACCCAAAGGTCATGCGGCCTACCTAAATGCTGTGTTACCCACCCCCTCTCATGCCAGTGGGGCACTGTTCAGGCACCTATGCTTATTGCAAATCCAGCAATATTTCCTTTAGTCAAGTAGGTGCATGACCATTATAAATCAAAAACAAAATTTTAAAATCAACCCAGAAATCAATGGGTAGTCAGAAAGGCTTGTAGAGCACAGGTTCAATATGCTTGCAAAAGGAAGCATAACTTCAGCAAATCACCAAACTCTACCAGCTGAAGTTTCTAAATAGATATGACAGGTACTCCTATGCAGAACAGCACTTAATCTTGAGGTGACAGAAACGCAGGGGTAAATTTCAATCTGTAGCCACAAAAATGGATCTAACATCCTAGCTGTCCACACATCAAAAAATAGCTGACCTGTCTGTAGTTGCTACCTAATGTTTATACATGCTAAACAAGAGATAGCAAACTGAACCCTAAGCAATCACATAGGAAAGTGCCCTAATAGAGGAACAATCACCCAGAGTGCTCAGAAAAGTAACAAAAGAGCCATCTGATCAGCCCCATTCATCACTCCTAGGGTTTGTCTACACAGCACCCGAAACTTGAAATAAGACACGCAATTTGCACTATGCAAATTGCGTAGCTTATTTGAGTCTATTTCGAAACAGGCTATTTCGTAATTTGGTGCTGTCTAATGAGGTTTACAGGGATGGCAAAATAGCACATCCTCTGTATTTCAGAATAACGGACCCGTTCAAAAGACGTGAGGTAGCTATTTCAGGATCCCAGGATCCCAAAATAGCACTGAAGTGTAGACATACCCCTACTGTACACAAACATGGCAGCCTCCTCCAGATGAGAACAGGTTTCCTATGCATAAATCTGCTTCTAAGACATGTACGATCTTCACGTTTCTAAAAATCTCAGTTCATTCATGTTGTTAACTGTTTTAATTTGACAGCCCTGAATATGAAAGCACGGGTAATCCAACCAGCTAGCACCTCTGGCAGGCCCTCTGTCTCAATGGGATCTGCTGTATGTAGAAGGGAAATAGCAGCAGTTTCAACCCAGTACTCCCCACAACCTCTATCCTCTCTTCCATTAAAGTCCCATTCCTCACCTCAACCCTACTCACTTCTCCCATTTTTTAGGCCTGCTAGTTGAGGTTCAACCCCTCCCTCAAGCTTTGGCTACAGACACCCACCTTAAGCAGAGAAGACATGGGTCTCTTGTCACCCTTCATCCCAGCACCTAAACAGCTAGGGTTGCTCTCCTGAGGGCCACCCTGCCTCCCACAGCCCTGCCCCCCCGGCCTTCAAACGGACACATTTCTTCCTCCAGGGATGCACGTTAGCCTGCTCCTGCAGCTTGCACACAAGGGCACCGTCCCCAGAGTCTGGCCTTACTCACCCCCCACCCTGAGCCCAGCGGGGTCGGGGGGCG